TTCAATCACAATAGGATATTTATTATACTTCAAAACATAGTGTTGTGTATGTTTCAGGTACCCCAACATACGTTTCATTGCCATCCAATGAGTTAGAGTCAGATTACTAGTGAACCGACTCAGTTTGCTAATAACATACACTGTATTTGGTCGCGTACAATTCATAATATACATCAAACTTTCCAACACTTTCCATTACTCTTGCATATTCCAATTGAGAGTTAGTTTCACCTGCATTCTTTTGAAATGTAAAACTTAAATCAATTGGAGTTTTGACAACATTGAAATTCAAGTACTTGAACTTATCCAATACTCTTTCAATATAATGATATTGAGATTACGCTAGTTCGTGAGGAGTTTTGAGAACCCTGATCCCTAAGATCAAATCAGCAGCTCCTAAGTTATTTAAATCAAACTTTCTAGACAACATGAGTTTAGTAGCATTTATATTGTCAACAAATTTACGTATTATTAACATGTCATAAACAAACAGACAAACAACGACTTCATAATTTGGAACGTTTTTAATGTAAACACACTTATCACATTCATTAATTTTGAATTCATTTGCCAACATTGTCTGGTCAAAATTAGAATGTCATTGTTTGGGTGCTTGCTTGAACCCATAAAGCGACTTCACAAGTCTGCACACTTTATCTTCTTTACCAGGAACTACAAACCCTTTAGGTTGTTCCATGTAAATTTCTTCCTCTAACTATCCACCATTTAACAAGACTTTCTTTACATCCATGTTGATTTTAAGACCATGCACTTCCGCTAGTGCTATTAACATTCTAATTGATGTTATCCTTGTCAGTGGAGAGTACGTGTCAAAGTAGTTAAGACCTTCCTTTTGTCTATATTCTTTGACTACAACTCTAGCCTTATATTTTTCAATAGTCCCATCAACTTTCATTTTTCCTTTCGAATATTCACTTTGATTTTAAAGGCCAATTCCTTGAGTAAGATCATCCAATTCCCAAGTATGATTACTTAAAGTTGATTCGATCTCGCTATTTATTGTTTCTTTCTAATAAGTTGACTCAGATGAAGAAATAGTTGCTTTAAATGTTTGAGGTTCATTTTCAAGCAACAGTGCCAGAAAATCTAATCCGCTAGAAGTGGATTTTCGTTGGCGAGTGCTACTCCTAGTATCCTCACTAAGGTAATGTATTTTCTGTTGATTTTTCTCGTAGTCGTTTAAGTCTTTCACTTGTCGAATCACATTCAGTTTTATACGGATAAATATGTTCAAAAAACTTTGTTTTATCTTACTCAATTATCATATTAACATGAATCTCAGGATTATTATATTTGTGAATCAAAATCGGCAGGCCTAACTGTTCACAACATGTTCAATAAATACACAATCTACCGTTTTGGTTCTCGTAACATTTTGCGATTAGACATAACTAAAAAGGAGTTTAAAATCTGGAAATACTTATTTTGGAAAGTATAAGAAAATCTAGAAATTTAAAAAAGTTGAAAAAAGAGTTTTTGGTCAACTTCAAATGGTCATAACTTCTAGCTCAGGATACATGAGGTGTAGTTCTAGAATGGTAAGATTTTGGAACGATATTTCCAACACCGCCAAGTTTCTGCAATTTTAACTTCATATGAGTGAGTTATACATGGAAGTTGGGCTATCGGATTAAGAAAAATGTCTAAATCCAGGATTTTAAAGATATTTTAGTCTTTTCACTATCCTATTATTTAAATGCATTTTTAGGAGCTTAATATGGGACAAATCAGAACATAATCAATTTTAGAAGTTGGAAATTTTCATGCTAGGGCTAATGAGAAAGGAGAAGAAGAAAAGGGCAAGATTGACCAAGATCGTTCTAGATTGATACTGGTTTTGCCAAGGATTTACTTCGATCTGTTATGTGAGTCTATCTCAACATTGGGTTTGTTCACCCACGTGTCAATCATGTTTGATTCAACATGATTTTATCTTTAAAAGATTGGATTTTGAATTTTCTTTAATGTTGTTTTTGAATTGCTTTTGTTCTTGAACATAAGTTGAGATTTAGGAGTTCCTTGATGATCTAAGTGTTGTTTATTGAATTCATTGGGTTATATCCTTGTATATATGATGTGGGTACATGAATCTTAAAGTGAAAGTAGAAAAAGAAACGAGTTAAAACGATTTAAGATAAGAAAACGAGTTGAAAAATTTGTCAGGCATATCTACGGAGGGTTAGGAACGGCGTGCCCCATCTGCGCCAGTGGGACCAGGGTGGCATGCTACAGTTCTTCCAAATGGAGCCTCAGTCAAGCGAGGCTGGCACGGTGCCCCCCAAATATGCCTGAATCGGTATTTTTTTTATCCAGTTTTCGTAGTTCATTCCGTTTAAGCCTTTCTAAAGTGTTTTAACATTTCCTAATGATTCTAACTATTCTTAATAACTTCTAATCATATAGAAATCATCTAGAAATATGAATTGAAACCTTGAATCTATAACTTCAAATTCAAGGAAAGTTAAGAGTCAAGTCTAGAAAGTTCTTAGAGTCTTTTCAGAAAGTCTTTTACAAATGCTTTTAACTTTGCTTTAAGACTTAAAGATCAAGTTGAGTAAAGAGTAAATATAATGATAATAAGTTCATTTCAAGTTTCATAAGTCTTTCACAAATGTTTTAACGTTGTTCTAAGACTTAAGTTTGAGTTTAATTCATAGTAAAATGAAGTCTTTTCTTCAAAGTAGTACATAGGGACTGAGTATTCACAAAGAAGTACAAAATGTTTTCACATTTAATGAGAATGGAAACTGAGATTTCCAAAGAGCCCTCAAGCTAGTTTTCATAAAAGATTAATTATTTTTTTAAATAAAAAAAGCAGGGAAGCTAAGATTTTCAAGATATCCTTTGAGCCCTAATCTCAAACCACGGAAATAAGTATGTTTTAAAAACATAAGAGCTAATATAATAATATTTTTGGGAGTAGTATTGAGCACCTTTATGAGAAAGAGTTCAAATTTAATGAGAATGGAAATTGAGATTTTCAAAGAGCCCTCAGACTAGTTTTCATAAAAGATAAATAATTTTTTAAATAAAACAAGCAGGGAAACTAAGATTTCCAAGATATCCTTTGAGCACTAATCTCAAACCACAGAAGTAAGTATGTCTTAAAAACATAAGAGCTAATATAATAATATTTTTGGGAGTAGTATTGAGCACCTTTATGGGGGAGAGTTCAGATAACTCCCAACCCCCCTAAACCATGTAGCCACCATGGGTAGAAAAGGGTCAACTTTTTAGACGATTCTTGTAGTGCTTTTTAGCATAGACTAGTGGATCCACTTAGTAGTTCAGGTTCTATACCAATGGCACAGAATAGGACGGCCTTGGCAGCGTGAGGCAAAATATTGTATCATCACCATAACTCCTAAGTGATGGTTGTCGGTTAGAGAAAACTCCCACAGAAGTTAAATGAATTTTATATACAATTATTTGTATTTTTACATACACCTCAGAGTAATATTGTATCTTTGCAATACATAAAGAGTTGACAACATGTTTTAAACAACTTTTCTTTATATTGCACTTGTTTTAAAATTATTTCATATTGAAATGAGTTCGGTCTTCTAGAGTTGAGTTGAGTCAGGTAAGTTCTCCATATTCTCCTTTCAAGCGTACGTTGTATTATTTACCATTCCAATTCGCATACTCGTACATTCAATGTATTAATACCAGTTGACTTGTGATGCAGACGCAGGTAACAAGGATCGACATCCAACGCACCGTTGATGCAATTGGTTACTCCAGAGTAAGTTGGTGAGCCTCCTTGCATTCCATAGGACTCTTTTACTTGTTTTATTGTTTAATTCATTAGGATGTTGTGGGGTTTGTCCCAACATCCATCTCAGTTCTAGAGGCTCCATAGATTGACAATCAGATGTTAATCCTTTGAGTCTTTTAATATTATCTCTTATTGTTAAGACTTGGGTTGCCAGTTTTGGCCAAGTTGAATGTTTGAATTTTAAACATTCTCAGTTATTACATCCTTTTTCAGTTAAGTTATGTTCATTGATGTGATAGATATGATAATTGTCTTCTTCTGAGTTAGGTAATTCAGACCAAGGGTCCGCTCAAGGCCAGAGTCTTCGAGTGCCAGTTCCGCCCAGAGTGTAGGCTCGGGGCGTGACAGGTCCAATTTAGACACCCACACTTTGAAATATTTCAACTTGTGTTTCCTTTATTTCCACAACTCATATGGAATTGATTGTGTTTTGATACGACACACCCTATTGAGTATCGTATTATCCGTAAGGATGGACTCCCCCAAAGATTTCGCGGTGAATCAGAACTGATTATCAATGTATTCATCATTTTCTTTAATGTTCTATTCTTCTGTTCCGCCAAACTATTTGACTGTGGTGCATAAGGTGCAGTAGTTTGATGAATAATACCATATTCCAAACATATCTCTTCAAAAGAAGATTCATATTCTCCATCGCTATCACTCTGAATCATTTTATCTTTAGATTCACTTGATTCTCCACTTCATTTTTGTATTGCTTAAACTCATCAATTGCTTCATCCTTACTATTAATCAAATATACGTAACAGAATCGACTGCAATCGTCAAAAAAGTTATAAAATATTTTTTCCCACCACGAGATGGTGTCGACTTCATATCACATATATCTGTGTGAATTAAGTATAAAGGTTTTAAATTTATTTTAACAGACCTATTAGGATGTTTAACAAACTTACTTTCCACACAAATTTCGCATTTCGATTTATCGCATTTAAAATAAGACAATACTTCTAAAGTAAACAATTTTCGCAACGCTTTATAACTTAAATGTCCCAAACGGATATTTCATGAATCATTTAACTCCAATAAGTAAACAGAAGCAGAATTCTTATTAATATTGTCAACAATCATTACATTCAGTTTGAAGAGACCCTCATTGAGGCAAACTTTTCCTAAGAACATATGGTTCATAATTATTGCAATATTGTCACTAACTAGGACACACTTAAATTTGTTCTTAATGATCAGTGCAGCGGATACTACATTCTTCCTAATAGTAGGGACATACAGAACACTCTTCAAAGTCAACACCTTGTCGAGTGTCATTTTCCACATTAGTTTTCCAGTTCCCGCAATCCTTGTTGTTGTTGTGTTTCCCATGAATAAATCTTCATTGAACTCAACAGGAGTGTACGTTGCAAAGGCTTCTTTTGCAAAGCAAATGTGTCGAGTGGCACCTGAGTATTCATGGGGTAATTATTATTTAATACATATAAAAAACTTTTTTTAATAAATAATATTATGAAATTGTTAGAGAAAGTTGTTACAAGGTTGAATAGTATCACTAAAGTTGCTTACAAAGACGATCCAACAATTATGGCATGGGAACTTATGAATGAGCCTCGCGATCAAGCTGACTATTCAGGAAAAACTGTTGTTGACACCCAATTTTGGCCTAACATTTTTAAAATTTCGTAGTTTTGGGCCACAATGCTAAGCTCGTCATTTAAGCCCTTTTGAGTCTTTATTTAGGTCAAAAAGGGAGGGAATTAATTTTTCAGAAAGAGAAGAGGGAGAAACCCTTCCCCCCTCTCCAAGCCGCCTCCTTCTTCTCCCCTCTCCATCTCCTCTTCTCTCTTCCTCCCAAACCCTTCCTCCTCTCCCTCTTTTCCGTCAGCCCCTCTCACCCTTTCCCTCCCTCTTTCCCGTTTCTCCCCCTTCCTCTTCCTCTCCTCTCTTCTATCTCCTCCATTCTCTCTTTTTCCGGCAAAGCAGCGACAACAACCCAGCAGCAGCTGAGACAGCCTACAACAACAGCTCCAACAGCCGGCGAGCCAAGCAGCGCCGCCCTCTCCCTCTTCTCCGGCAAAGCAGCGACAGCAACCGGCAAAAGCTCCGGCTGAAGCAGCAACAACAAACGACGGAAATAGCAGCGCCACCACTCGCATACTTATCCGGTGAAGACACCATCAGCGTCAGCAGCTCCAGGAGGCGAGCACCACAGATGATATCAACTCCGACCTTGTTAGAGAAAACATTCAGATCTGTCCAAAAGGTAATAATTTTGACAACCCTTTTTTTTTAGTCATTGTTTTGTTCATGCTTATACTAATTGTTGTATTATCTTTTGTATTGTTGAGTTGTCACACATAATTTTATTATTATTATCATTATTTGTGTATATTGTGATTTTGTCTCTTTTTTATATTGTTATTTTCCCTAATATTTATTTGATGAGTTATTTAGTCATAGTTAGAGTAATTGTATTCTACTTTAATTATATTTTGACATTTAGTTATTGTTGCTGCTAATATTAGTTTTGTGTGTTATCCGTTTTATGTTATATTAATGATGCCATGTTTACTTTTTTTTGTTTTATTTTTGTGTTAAGTTTTGTCAATTAGGTTGTTAATCTTTGCAAATGTTCAAAAAGCAAAAAATTTAAAAAAGAAAAATCAGCAATGCTATTTTGATTTTGGATGATACATAATGTTATATATATATATATTTATATATATATATATATATATTGCTATCGTTTAGACTTTGCAGCAATTATTTTTTTTTATATATCTTCATTACTTATTGGTTGTTATCTTGTTTTCAATGGGGTTTACATTACTTTAATATGGGGTAATTTTTATTATCTTTTATGCTTCTTTTATTTACTAAATTTTTGTTTGATGCTATACTAGTTTATATTATAAATTGTTAAAGGGCCTATGAAAAATCTATCCGTCGGGTTTAGAGGCCTCCCCATTTTAAAAGACGGAACTTTAATTCAAGTTTATATATTCTAAAAATTGTTGGAATTGGCCGATGAAGAAATTATCGTCGATTTCCAAGGCCTCCCATGTTGATAAGACGGATTTTTATTTTTAATTATTATTTGCTTTATTCAATTTTAATCATATTTATTCTTTACTAACATTTTTACCAAGTGTGTTTACAGGTACCCGGAGGTGCTTTTCCTTTTATTTCATTATTGTAAATATTGACGTTAGGCAAACCTTATGCCGATAATTATTATTTTATTTTATTGTGCATATTAAATGTTTATTATACTTGTACATTATTTTATATTTTTCCTCGATTTGAAAAAAAATGAATTCAGTCGGGAACCACATTTGTGGATTCCGAAGGGTGCCTAAACCCTTCCCTTCGGAATAACTTGAACCCCTTACCTAGAATCAATTTGGTTTCGTAGATAAATATTTGGTTTCCTAGTTTTCCTAAAATTAGGTGGCGACTTTTTTTTTTTTAAAACTCATTTATTTTTAAAATTTTGTTACAATTAAATCAATTAATTATTTTTCGAGTTGCCGCGACGTTTCGCCCTATTTCGAAAGAGTAGGGATGTAAACAACTGTTAATATAAGTTCCACATTTAAGTTTAATTTTAGCAATATTAAATCTGTGATTGATGTTTTTAATGAATATTGTTATAGGGTTGGGTTCAAGAAATGGCGAGTTTTGTGAAGTCATTAGATAACAAATTGGAAGTTGAAATTGAAGGATTTTATGGTGATTCAATTCCTGAAAGGAAATCAGTGAATCCTGGTTATCAAGTTCGAACAAATTTCTTTAGTAACCAGCTTATCAATGAAATTGATTTTTGCTACAATCCGTTCATACATTGACCAATGGTACGTAGTTTTTACATGATCTTTCGAATGTGTACGTACATTTTTATAAGTTTAAATATTTATTTATATCGATAGTTACAGGGTATCTGAACAAAGTGATGAAGCACAATTGGTGTGGATGGAGAAGTGGATAACAAGTCATTGGGAAGATGCAAGAAATATATTGAAGAAACCTTTAGTGCTTGCTGAATTTGGAAAGTCTAGTAGATCAGGTGAAGGATCAAGAGATATATTTATGAGTAGTGTGTATAGAAATGTGTATAATTTGGCAAAAGAAGGTGGAACAATGGGAGGAAGTTTAGTATGGCAACTAATGGCACATGGAATGGAGAATTATGATGATGGTTATTGAAGAAATAGGCATTACATGACACAAGGGCAAATTAGTCATTACTGTTTAATCAAGTTGGTTAAAGTTGTTAAGTGTAGTTAGTTAGAAATTTGTTAGGAAGTTAGTTAGTAAAACAGTATATGTACTGCATCAAGTTACAATACAATGTATTCAGTTTGTATTCTTCTTTTTTACAAAATAAACTTCTTCTCTCTTTTCCTTCTTGTTGAAGCTTCCTCTAATGGCTGTTAATGGAAGCTTAGAGAAGTTTGATTGTTAGTAGTTAATAGATTTCATCATGGTATCAGAGCAATAACCACTGTTGTGAGTTGTTAATCGATTGTTTTAGATAGAGTAGCATTGTAGTTGAAAGGTGAGTGCAATTGCTGAAGCAGAACAGCAATGGCAGCCACGAAGATCGACCATACACATGCACTCTTCATACATCCTTCAGATACAACTGGAGGTCCGATTATTCCTATTCAATTAATAGGATCTGAAAACTACTCAATCTGGAGTAGATCAATGAGAATTCAGTTGCTTGGAAAAAACAAGCTTGGGATCGTAGATGGAACCTGGAAGAAAGAGGATTTTCTTTCAGATTTAGCTCATCAATGGGATAGATGTAATGCTATTGTGATTGGATGGATATTTGGATCAGTAACAAAGGAACTACATGCAGGGATTGTGTATGCAGAAAATGCAAAGATGATCTGGGAAGATCTTAAGGAAAAATTTGATAAGGTAAACACTTCACGAGTTTATCAATTGCATAAAGATATGGTGACCTTGAGTCAAGGAACTGATAGTGTGTCAACTTATTTCTCAAAATTGAGACAATTCTGAGCTGAGTTTGATAGTATGACACCACCTCCTTGTGATTGTGTTAAATCCAAGGATTTCATGTTGGATGTTCAGAGGTTAAAGGTGATGCAATTCCTTATGGGGCTGAATGAAAACTATGAACAAGCTAGAAGCCAAATATTGATGACAAGTCCAACTCCTAACATCAATAAGGCTTACTCTATGTTAATCGAAAGAGAGAGTCAAAGGTCAATTATCAATTCCGGAGAAAGAATTGAATTAGGAGCTATGATGGCAGGAAGAGGAAACATTTATCACAGACCTCCAAAGAATTGGAATCTTCAATGTGATTACTGCAAACTTAAAGGTCACACAAAGAATGTATGCTATAAACTGATTGGATATCCACCAGGATATAAAGGAAAGAAGAAGGAAGATTTTCCTAATGCAAACACTGCCCAAAATGAAGATAATAGTAAACAGAGGTATCAAGGAGAATCTACTGCCTATAATGCTCAAACTGAAAGTGTACATTCAGATATGAATACAGGATTTAATACTGAATCCTCAAGTGGAAGAGGAGATTTTCAAAGAGCACCATTCTTGATTGAGAAACAGCAGGATAAGATCAAAATGATGCTTGATAATGATAAGCAACCAGAATACATGGCTCATATGGCAGGTATTAATTTCAAAACTTTGTCCACAGTAAAGCAGATAAAGTGGATAATAGACACAGGAGCTACAAATCATATGACTGCTAGTTTAGATACACTGAATGATATAGAATCTGTGAGATCATCTCATAAAAGGAAAGTTCATTTGCCTAATGGTGAGGTGACAATGGTATCTCACAAAGAAAAATACAGTTTGGGAGGAATAGGGATGCTTGATAATGTTTAATACATACCAGACTTTAAGTATAATCTTTTATCAGTTTCTAAGATAACAAGAGAACTTAATTGCTTTGTCTCTTTTTATCCTGGTTTCTGCTTGTTCCAGGACCTTACAAGTGGGATCTTGAAGGGGATTGGTAAGGAGAGTGATGGTTTATACATAATGTTCTCGCAGCAAAATGATAAACACTCTAATAGTTCAACTGGAGAAACTCACAGAGTTAATGTTGCAGAGAAAAGACAGGAAGATATGTTGTTGTGGCATAGAAGACTTGCTCATCCTTCCAGTGTTTCTATGAGGCATTTGTTTGGCTATAAACTAGATGAGTGTAAATCTATTGTAGCTGATTGTGAAGTATGTCCTTTAGCTAAACACACCAGAATTTCTTTTCAGCATTCTACTAGCACTTCTGTTGCAATTTTTGAGTTGTTACACCTAGATGTTTGGGGGCCATATCATGCTGAAACTTTTGATGGGAATAAACATTTTTTGACTATTGTTGATGACTTCTCTCATATTACCTGGATTTTTCTGCTAAAGTTTAAGAGTGATGTGGTATTAGTATTGAGACAGTTCTTCAAGATGATACACACTCAATTCCAGGCTAATGTTAAAAGGATTAGAACAGATAATGGCAGTGAGTTTGTCAATGCTGAGATGCAAAGATTTCTTCAAGAGCTTGGTATTATACATCAGAAAACCTGTGTCTATACTTCTCAGTAGAATGGTGTGGCTGAAAGGAAACATAGACATTTACTTGAAGTAGCTAGAGCTCTTAGATTTCAAGGACATGATCCTATTAAATACTGGGGTCATTGCATTCTAACTGCAGCTTATGTTATTAATAGACTGCCATCAACAGTTCTTGGTGGTAAATCTCCTTATGAATTGTTTTTTGGGAAGCCACCCTCAGTTAGTCATTTAAGAACTTTTGGGTGTCTATGTTATGCTAGTGCATTACCTAGAAAGGATAAATTTGTCTTTAGAGCTGTACCATCTGTTTTCATGGGCTACTCTACTACTACTAAAGGATATGTTCTATTTGATCTAAATCAACAAAAGTTTTTTATCAATAGGGATGTCACCTTCAGGGAACATATTTTTCCTTTTCAATCTTCTTCTAAACCAGTTTCACAGGTTGATCATTTTCCTTGGTCTTCTGAGTCTTTTCCTACTAATGAAGACACACCTAGTACAGATTCACCTATCATTGAGAATGAAGAGTCTGTTTCTCTCATATACAGTCTTCTAGTTCACCAACTCCATCTCTTGTTGTTCCTTCTACATCTCCAGATATGATCTTACCTATGTCCAATCCTGTTCCATTAAGAAAGTCACACAGAATTTCTAAAGCACCACTTTGGCATGTTGATTATGTCACTAAAAATGCAGCTCATGTTACTTACCCCATCAGTGCATACTTGTCTTATGAAAATATCTCTCCTTCACATCAAGTATTTCTTAGCTCTCTTTCTCATATGCATGAGCCTAGATCCTATGCTGAGGCTATTAAGGATACAAGGTGGGTTGAGGCCATGGCTTCTGAGTTAGAGGCTCTTAAGCTCAATCATACTTCGGATTTGGTTTCTTTACCTCATGGAAAATTAGCCATTGGCTGTCGATGGGTATATAAGGTTAAGTTGAAGGCTTCTGGTGAAGTGGAAAGGTTCAAGGCTTGGCTGGTGGCTAAGGGGTATAATCAGCAGGAAGGGCTGGATTATCATGAAACATTCTCTCCTGTTGTCAAGATTGCTACTGTGAGGATTGTTTTATCACTGGCTGCTCAACATAATTGGCATATTCATCAATTAGATGTTTATAATGCTTTTCTCCAAGGTGATTTAGATGATGAGGTATACATGCAACTTCCTCAGGGTTTATCAAGTCAGGGGGAGTGTAGTGGTGGCAACATTGTTTGTAGACTTGTTAAATCCCTGTATGGTTTAAAACAGGCTAGTAGACAGTGGAATATGAAGTTATCTGAGGCATTGATTCAATCAGGTTTTATTCAAAGTTCTATGGATCACTCATTGTTCATAAGGAAGAAAGGGAATGATATTGTTATTATTTTGGTTTATGTGGATGATATGTTAGTAACAGGTAGCAGTATATCTGCTATTGAGGAAACAAAAGCAGCCTTACATGCAGCATTCAAAATCAAAGACTTGGGTACACTGAAATTCTTTCTTGGAATGGAGTTTCACAGATCTTCTAAAGGTATTCTGATAAATCAGAGGAAATATGCTTTGGAAATCATTTCAGAACTGGGTATAGGAGCTGTTAAACCAGCATGGACTCCACTAGAAGTTAATGCAAAGTTGACTACACTAGAATTTGATAGTTTGGTACAAGGAGGAGATGATAACATGCTGGAAGACAAGACAAAATACCAAAGGTTGATTGGGAAGATGCTATACTTGACACTTACCAGACCTGACATAAGCTATGCAGTACAAACTCTTAGTCAATTTTTGCAACAGCCTAAACAATCTCATTGGGATGCAGCAGTAAGGGTAATGAAGTATATCAAAAGAGAGCCAGCCTTAGGTGTATTACTGAGTAACAAGGTTTCAATTTACTGACAGTTTTCTGTGATTCAGATTGGGCTTCTTGTCCAAACACAAGAAGATCAGTTTCAGGTTTTGTAATCAAACATGGGAACTCACTTGTTTCATGGAAATCAAAGAAGCAGACTGTGGTGTCCAGAAGTTCAGCAGAAGCTGAATATAGAAGTATGGCAAATGTTGTTTCTAAGGTAGTATGGTTAACTACTCTATTGAAAGAATTGGGTAGTGAAATAATGACTCCTGTAATTGTGCACAGTGATAGAAAGGCTGCATTACAGATTGCTGCAAATCCTGTTTTTCATGAACGTACAAAACATATTGAGATAGACTGCCATTTCATCAGGCAGAAAATTCAAGAAGGATTGATCAAAACAGTGCATGTGTGTTCCAAAGATCAATTGGCAGATGTGCTAACTAAAGGTTTATCGCGACAACAACATGAATATCTAGTAGGCAAGCTAGGCATGTTGAATATCTTCATACCAGCCAGCTTGAGGGGGACTGAAGAAATAGGCATTACATGACACAAGGGCAAATTAGTCATTACTGTTTAATCAAGTTGGTTAAAGTTGTTAAGTGTAGTTAGTTAGAAGTTTGTTAGGAAGTTAGTTAGTAAAACAGTATATGTAATGCATCAAGTTACAATACAATGTATTCAGTTTGTATTCTTCTTTTTTACAAAATAAACTTCTTCTCTCTTTTCCTTCTTGTTGAAGCTTCCTCTAATGGCTGTTAATGGAAGCTTAAAGAAGTTTGATTGTTAGTAGTTAATAGATTTCATCATATATTCTATTGTTTTGGGACTAATTCTTTCAACTACACAAATTATCTCAAATCAAGCTCATATCATGACAGCTTTGGCTCATTCTCTCAATTCATGAGTGAAGACATCATAATAATCAATTTATAATCCATCATATTTAGTATTATTAATTTGAGATGATATTACCAAACATGTTCAAGATTATTAAACTCAAGAATGTAATTGAATAAATTGTTTTAGTAAAAAGGAAAGTTATGTTTTATTTTGAGTTTAATTTTTTAGTTTGAAAGCAAAGATCAAGAATACTTATTTTAATCCAGTGGAAATTCACAAAATAACACATGCAATTATATTGTTATCAAGCATATATACAAACAACAAAAAGATAACTAAAAAAACAGAAAAGTTCACTCTTGCATTCTTCCATTAAGTGCGTCGTCTCTGAGCTCTCTTCATTGACCTTCTCATTTTCTTGGGATAAATGCCTTCAAAAAATTCAACAAACCATTTTGGCTTACGGTATTTAAACACGAGGATCCACACAACAGTTCCAACAACTAGTCCAAAGCTGTAGCCTATGACTACTGATTCCCACGTAAATCCACTAAAAAAATATGACTCGCCTTCATATTCCAATGGTTGAGGAACATGGGATGGATCAGTCGTTCCACATTGCTTTGATAAAGGAGGACCACATAGATCAAGGTTTCCACCATACGAGTCATTTTCAAATGTGTTGAATTGTAGACCTTGAGAATCGATCCAATAAGAAGATTCTGAGAGAGGTTTAAGACTGCTAGAAACTTCATTGTTATCAATTTCTTTGGAATCTTTCCGGTGAGACGATTCCAGGAGAGATCTAACGCTTCAAGCTTATTCAATTGCCTCAATTCCATTGGAATGTGACCTATGAGATTGTTATGGGATAAATTGAGTAGCCAAAGTGAGCTGAGATCCTTTAGTGTTTTTGGAATGACACCTTCAAAATGGTTGCTCGAGAGGTCTATGGTTGTCATAATTGTGCTGATTCTTTCTAGCTCAATGTCCTGGCCTTTGATCACCAAACTCACAGAATCCTTGTAGGATGTGTACAATGAAATCATATTTGGTTCCATATACCTAATCTATCCTGTGTCTTCACCATCTAACTTAATCATTGCCTTGAATTTTCCAAAGAGTTTTACTGGAAGTGAGCCACTCAATTGGTTATGCGAAAGATCAAAAATTCGCAACTCGGGAAAGCAAAGTGTACTCTGACAAGAACTAATTGGTCCATGGAACAAATTAGACTTTAGTATTAGGACCTGCAGTTCTTCAAGTGTTCCTAGCCAAGCTGGAAATGTGTCATTTATTGCATTATTCCCCATATCAAAAACTTCTAAATTACTACAGTTGATCAACGATAAAGGCAGAGTTCCTTCAAATTGATTGTCATTCAAGACAATGGTAATCAAAGAAGTGCTCTTCGCACATAATGGGGGAATACTCCCTGTGAAATTGTTCCTTCTTAAGTCCAACACTTTTAGACTAGACATGCTTCCCAAGCAACTTGGAATCGACTTACTGAAGTTGTTGCGTGATAAATCTAGAAATTCAAGAAAGTTCATGTTACAAATGGATGATGGTAGTGGACCCTGAAGGGAGTTAAATTTAAGATCAAGAAACTGCAGATTATGGAAATGAAATTGATGTAGGTGGCCTGTTAAAGAATTATGCGAAAGATTTAGGTACCTCAATTCGTCCCACCTTATGCGGCTAAACCAGTTTGGGATTTCTCCACGAATCTTATTGTTAGAAATATCCAAGACCCGAAGTTCCTTTACATTTTTCAAGAAGTACGGAAAATCCTTCAGTTCAAAAGATGATAACTGCAAAATTTCTAGGTTAGGAAAAGTGATTTGTATTCCCTCATCGATGGTGATGCTATTTGATGAAAGGTCAAGGGTAGAAAGATTTGTGAGATTCACAAGTGATTGAGGAAAAAAACCACTGAGTTGATTATGGCTTAAACCCAGGCGTACCAATGTTGGGTTTGTTTTGAGCTCATTGGGTAGTCCACTAAACCGATTATTATCGAGACACAACTGACCTAGCAAAGGGAGGCTAAACAGCGAACATGGTATGATACCATTCAGTGAGTTGTTCCACAAACCCAGTCGGGTTAGCTTTTGAAGCATGCTAAAATTATTAGGCAGTGGGCCAGATAAGGAATTACTTGACAAGTCTAACTCTTGAAGATATGTCAAGCTTACAATTGTAGAAGGAAACGAACCGATGAAGCTGTTGTTAGAAAGATCTAAATAACTTAGCTCTTGGAGGTTAGAAAAAATATCGGGAATTTCACCTGAAAAGGAATTGGACGAAAGACCTAGAATAGTGAGATGCTTCAATTGAGAGATTGTGGAAGGAATATGGCCGATGAGATGATTATAACTGAAATCCAAATACCTAATTTGCGTAAGATTGCCAATGGAATCAGGAATGAAACCAGAGAATTGACATCCTTTGAGGTTCAAGATATCCAAGGAACTGAAGGTGCCAATTGAATTAGGCAGCTCACCAGAGATTCCTGTGTTAGAAATATCCAACTCCAACAGAGTAGTGTTGCTAGGGTGGATCTTGGTGTCTTGTGTGATTGGTTTATTATTGTCTTGTTATATTTGTTTGGTTGAATTACTTGCTGCCTTACTATCATATTGCTTGTGGTTGTTTGTCTTCTCTTGGTTCAAATCGAGAAGGGAAAGTATAGACTTGGGTATTCTTCCGCTGTTATCCTGTCAGGCATTCTTTGTTAGTGCCTTGTCTTTCCCAACAAAGTGGTATCAGAGCATTGATTATTGTTTGATTGTCATTTTGAATGATGGAGGCAAATATGAGTAAAATGGTGTGTTTAACTGGTAGTATCTATCATATTTGGAAAGGCAAGATGAAAGATCTTCTATTTGTCAAGAAGATGCATTTACCTGTGTTTGCTTCTAATAAGCCTCAGTCTTTGAATGATGAAGAATGGGAATTTGAGCATCTGCATGTTTGTGTCTATATTAGACAATGGGTTGAAGATAATGTTAGAAATCATATTGTGAATGAGACACATGCCAAAAGTTTGTGGGACAAGCTCGAGACACTTTATGCTTCGAAGACTAGCAACAACAAGTTGTTCCTATTGAAACAATTAATGAATATCAGGTATAAAGAGGGCACTTCTATTTCTGATCATATTAATGATTTTCAGGGTGTTCTTGACCAGCTGTCCGGAATGGGTGTAAAGTTTGATGATGAGATACAGGGACTTTGGCTTCTTAATACTCTGCCAGACTCTTGGGAAACTCTTCGAGTTTCTTTGACTAATTCTGCTCCCAGTGGTGTTGTAACCATGGAATATACTAAGAGTGGTGTCTTGAATGAAGAAATGAGAAGAAGATCTCAAGCCTCATCTTCTTCAGTTTCACACTCCGATGTTTTGGTTACTGAAGATAGGGGGAGAAACAAGTCCAGAGGTCAGAATGATAGAGGTAAAAGTAGAAGCAAGTTAAAGTCTAAATACAAGAATATTACATGTGACTATTGCCACAAGAATGGGCATATCATGAAATATTGTTACAAGCACAAGAGAGATATGAGACAACAAAAGAGAGAAGGCGATAATGAAAATCGTGTTGCTGTTGTTGCTAATGATAATCTTCTTGTTTCTTGTGATGCAAATGCCATTAATCTTGTTCGTGATAAGTCTAGCTGGTTTGTGGATTCTGGTGCTACTTCTCATGTCACGCCAAAGAAGGAATTATTTTCTTCTTATACTCCAGGTAATTTTGGAACGTTGAAAATGGACAATAATCATGAAGTTGAAGTTATTGGCATTGGGACAGTTTGTTTGGAAAGTAACAATGGTTCCAAACTAGTTCTCAATAATGTCAAGCATGCTCCAGATGTTCGCTTGAATTTGATTTCTGTGTGATATCTTGATGATGAGGGTTATGTTAATACACTTGGTGTTGGCCAGTGGAAGCTTACTAGAGGTTTGATGGTTATGGCCCGTGGTGACAAGTTGTCTAACTTGTATGTATTTCAGGGCTCCATCTCCAGAGACTCAGTAAATTTGGTGGAGAATGATACTTCATCAGAGTTATGACATAGAAGGCTGAGTCATATGAGCGAGAAGGGGATTGATAGTTTGGCTAAGAAAAATTTGCTTTCTGGAGTGAAACAAGCAAAGTTGAAGAAATGTGTTCATTGCTTAGCCGGTAAACAGAAAAGAGTTTCTTTTCAGAGTCATCCGCCTTCAAGAAAGCTTGATCTGCTGGAGTTGGTACATTCTGATTTGTGTGGTCCTTTTAAGGTAAGATCTCATGGTGGTGCACTTTACTTTGTGACTTTTATTGATGATCATTCTCGCAAACTCTGGGTATTTCCTTTGAAGTCCAAGGATCAAGTACTTGATGTGTTCAAGAGTTTTCAGGCCTTGGTTGAAAGACAAACAGGGAAGACATTGAAATGCATCCGCTCAGATAATGGTGGTGAGTATATTGGTCCTTTTGATAGATATTGCAGAGAGCAGGGTATTAGGCATCAGAAAACTCCTCCAAAGACTCCTCAGTTAAATGGTTTAGCAGAGAGGATGAACAGAACTCTAGTTGAGAGGGTTAGATGTATGCTTTCAGATGCTAAGCTGTCAGATTCTTTTTGGGCAGAAGCACTTAATACTGCTGCTTATGTTATCAATTTATCTCCTGCTGTTGCTTTAGATGGTGATGTCCCTGGCAGAGTTTGGACTGGTAAGAATGTTTCTTATGATCATCTTAGATTCTTTGGGTGTAAAGCCTTTGTACATGTTCCTAAGGATGAAAGGTCAAAGTTGGATGTTAAAACTAGGCAGTGTATCTTCATTGGTTATGGTCAAGATGAATTTCGCTAATCGTTTCTATGATCCTGTTGAGAAGAAACTTGTTAGAAGCCGTGATGTTGTGTTCTTTGAAGACCAAACAATTGAAGATTTTGACAAAGCTGACAAGGCTGATTTTCAGAGTAGTGAGAGCTTAGTTGATGTTGATCCAGTTCCTTTGACTATTGCACCGGAAGAAAATCTTCATAATGATGAAAATCAAGTTGATAATGAAGATGGTGATCATGTTCAGAATGACTGGCATGATGTTGTTGATGCTCCAGTGCAAGATGATGTAGTTGTCCAACAACCAATTATAGATGCTCCAGAGAGTTCTCTCAGACGATCTAGTAGAGAGAGAATTCCTTCATCTCGTTATTCTCCCAATGATTATGTACTCTTGACTGACGGGGGAGAACCTGAGAGTCTTGATGAGGCCATGGAAAGTGAATAAAAAGAAAGGTGGTTTGATGCTATGGAAGATGAGATTAAATCCTTGCATGATAATCATACCTTTGATTTGGTTAAGTTACCTAAAGACAGAAGAGCTTTGAAAAACAGGTGGGTTTTTCGGGTGAAACATGAAGATGGTAATCCAGTTCCACGGTACAAAGCTAGATTAGTTGTCAAGGGATTTAATCAGAAAAAGGGAGTTGATTTTGATGAGATATTCTCTCCAGTTGTGAAGATGTCATTCATTCGTGTGGTTCTAGGCTTAGCTGCAAGTCTATATTTAGAGATTGAGCAAATGGATGTTAAAACCGCTTTCCTCCATGGTGACTTAGATGAAGAAATTTATATGGAGCAACCGGAAGGTTTTGAAGTCAAGGGTAAAGAGAATTATGGTTGCAAATTGAAAAAGAGCTTGTATGGTTTGAAACAAGCTCCCAGGCAGTGGTACAGGAAGTTTGGTTCTTTTCTGAGTCAGCAGGGCTTCAAGAAGACTTCTTCAGACCATTGTGTTTTTGTGCAAAATTTCTCTGATGGTGACTTTATTATTGTGTTGCTTTATGTTGATGACATGCTTGTTGTTGGTCATAATACTTGCAGGATTCAGAAGTTGAAGCAAGATTTGAGTAAGTCTTTTGCTATGAAAGACTTAGGACCAGCAAGGCAGATTCTTGGCATGCAGATTGTCCGTGATAGAAGGCCAAGAAATTGGTATTATCACAAGAGAAGTACATTCAGAAAGTACTTCGCAGGTTCAGCATGGACAAAGCTAAGGTTGTCAGTACACCTTTAGCTATGCACTTCAAATGAGCACGAAACAGTGTCCTTCTAGTGATGATGAGAAGGAAGATATGAAGAAAGTTCCTTATGCTTCAGCTGTTGGTAGTTTGATGTATGCGATGGTTTGTACAAGACCGGATATTGCTCACGCTGTTGGAGTTGTTAGCCGTTTTCTTTCTAATCCGGGAAGAGAACATTGGAATGCTGTGAAGTGGGTTATGAGATATCTCTGTGGCACTTCTAGTCTGAGTTTGTGTTTTGGTACAGGGAAGCCTATTCTTTGTGGTTATACTGATTCAGACATGGCTGGTGATGTTGATACTCGCAAGTCTACTTCAGGGTACTTGGTTACTTTTGCAGGGGGAGCTGTGTCTTGGCAATCTAGGTTGCAAAAATGTGTTGCTCTATCTACTACAGAAGCTGAGC